GGGGGCTGGAACGGACCCCGCGAGCCGTCCCACTGGCTGGCGCGGCAGGATCTCGGCCGTGTCGCTCTCACTCGGATCTGCAGCCCTCTCAGGAGGTTTCCTGCTCCTCTTCTGGACTGACCTGATGGGGCAGCTGGCTTGTTCGGAGCGCAGCAGACACTGGCCCTTCAGAAGGTGCTGGTGCTCGGCAGAGCCACACATGGGGCACGGGGCACAGTGGCTCAGGAAAATGGAAAGGGCTGGAGAAAAGTTGCTGAGGACAGGAGGCACCCAGAGCACATCGCCCTGCACGCCCTGGCCCGCAGTGAGCATCCCAGAAGGACACGCACCGGGCAGGGAGAAGGCAGGAGCGGCTGGGGACGGTTCTGGAAACAAGGGCACTTTGGACAACAGGCCCACGCCCCCAGTCCATGCCCTGTCTGGTGGATGGCCCCCACACGTGCTGGCTGGAGGGCTTCGGATGCCCAGCGGACACAGAGGAGGGTCTATGTATGAAGGGCTGGACACCCCAGCTCCAAGTCTCTCCACCCCACGCACCGGGGTTCAGAGCTCCAGGCCCCGTGGCATCTGCAGCAGCTGGGAACTGCGGGGTAGGGACCCATGGCACAACCTTGCTCCCACAACTGCCCAGGGCCCCAGCACACAGAGCCCTTCCCCACCCTGCACTGGGTCTGCTGGCCCGGCCTGACCTGGGATCATGCTGGCCCTGCGGGAGCAGATCAGCCCTCAGCGCCACCTGCTGATCTGCACCCACCTCCCCGGTGCGCTCTCTGGAGCAGGGCCCCGGGCTCAAAGGACGGGACACGCAAAGCTTCCAGCTGGCTGGCCTGGCTGCCTGCAACGGGAGCTCCGAGCTCCCAACGGGGTGTCCAGCACTGCAGGCTGAGCGCAGCTGCACCCGGCAGCCTGGGCAGGAGCGCGGGAAGAGGGCGGCGGCGTTCCGGAAGGCACCCAGCGCACACTCGGAGGAAGCCCGTCGCTCTGGGAGGGGAAGGACCAAGACACGTCCCGGGGACCCATGCGAATGAGGAAGCGAGGGCAAGAACGTGGACCAGGCCAGGCCCTTCCCCCTCACCAGGGGCTTGGAAACGGGCGGCAAGCCTGGACCGAAAAGAGCTGCTTCTGGACGACGGACATGAGGCCAGCTTCCTGCGCTGGCGGGAGCGCCTGGCTTTCTGACCTGCAGCCAGAGACTCTGGGACACTGGCGCCTCCTTCCCCGCGCAGGCTGCTCCTTGCCTCCTAAGCCCGGTCTGCCCTGCTCCTCCCCCGGGAGACCATCAGCGAGAGCTTTGCCGCCCCCCAGCAATGGCGGCAGCACACACGCGTCTCGTGCCTGGGGAGGGAGCTCACCCCCCTCGGGTCTGGGAGCTAGGGCCGGTGCTCCCGCCATCAGGCATCACGCTGGCATCTTGTGCAGGCAGGAGGCCGGGGCCAGCAGGCTCTGCAGACAGAGGTGTGCATCCCAGCGGCGTGCTAGGGAAAGCTGAGCAGCAGCAATGAGACGGGACCGTGCAGCCGCTCAGGAGATGAGGCGCAGAGCAGCGATTTTCTCTGCGCCACGCTCCAGAAGGCCATACAGCTCCGAGTTCAAACCCAGAGCGTGCCAGCCTAGCAGCGACCCTCCCCCCACTCTGGACAACCCTGAGCATTCGGCACTCAGGCACCGGAGCGATTTCCACCCATCTCAAACCCCAGGGCAACCAAACACAATTGGCTCCAAGACCCTCTTTCAAAAACAAGTTCACTTTAGGGCAAAAGCCCAACCCTGGGAATTTCAGCCCCAAACAGTCACCTGCCAAAAAGTGCCAAGCCTGTGAAAAGAGGCTGATGGGCGGAGCCAGAAGCAGAGCTCCCCCAGCCTGTGCCCTACGCACACTGCCACGGTAGCTGCTGGCACTCCACAGAAGGACGGAGCCAGATTCTTCCAAGCGCTTGGTGGTTTTTGCACTGGGCTTGAACAACTGCAGCCTAGTTTCTGTTCCCAGTCGTTAGGAGACGCCTTCAGACGGCAGGCTATTTTTAGATAAACCACAAGGAAGGAAACCTCAGCCAGACCGCAGCAGCATGATCTAAAATGCAGCTTTGGAGCGGCTTGGCCAGTGACGCACAAGTGACTCCACCCACGCAGAGCCAGGCTTGGACACAGAGAGGCTCAAGAGCACACCAGGCCCTGCATTAGCTTTCACAAGCTCGTGCTGCGGGTCAGCCCTTGGGAGGCTCCAGGCCGCAGCGAGGACGCTGTTCACTGCAACAGTACGATGCATCTAAAGAGGCAGCAGGCCGGCAGCCAGCATCGCGGAAAAGGCGGCAGGGAGGCAGGAGGGAGACAGGTGGCTACACTGCTACTTCTTAGCAGCTGTGCAATGAGCATGACGGAGTATTTACAGGGTGAGCAGGCCCTGGGACGCTGGGAATTTAACTGCAGCAGGAAATGGAGCTATTGGCCAGGCGGACAAGCCTGGCTCTAAGGGGGCAGAGCGAGCGCCAGCAGGATACGTCTACATTCTGAGCTAGGGTGTGACTCCATGCTGTAGTCACAAGAGCGCGGGGCCGTGCTCAGGACCTACTGATCCTAGTCTGGCTCAAAGGGAGCTAGCCAAGCACAGGTGCAGGGGAGGAGCCGAATCGCACCCCGAGCCTGTAGTGCTGGGACAGTTACAGACAACGCAAGCTGACCTGCTGCGCTGCTGTCCGGGGAAGCGGGTGGATTCCAGAGCGACACCAACACGGGAATGCCATTTTCTACAAACCCCCACGCGTGAGGATTCCCTCCTCCAGCTTTAACAGTTCACCTGTCCCAGCTCTCGGGACAGCACCCAACTTGAGCGGAGACACACAAGCCAAGTGTGCTTGGCTTTTTCGGTGCGTGCCGCTACGAACACGGGCAGGTGGGGCCTTTACAACCCAGGTGCCTCCGTTCTTGGAAGTTTCCAGCTCAACCCCCGGGACCCCACCATCTAGTGCATTTTCTCGGCGGCTCACAAACTGTAGGAAAAAAATCAAAGCCTCTTAAGCCGGGCACCCGAAAGCCTCCTTATTTACATGGCATCTGACCGATGAATGGCTCAGCTCACTGCACTGCCTTCTCCATTCTCCTTTCTACAGGTAGAGGTTAGGTGGCTCTGTTTTGAGCACTTCCTATTAGTTCTGAAGAGAGTCAGGCTCTGTCCATACCGGCAATTGAGCAAAGCAGCTTTTGTCCTTCACAGG